ACAAGAGTTAACATATAGCCACAAGAGTTAACATATATCGTTATTATCACCCCTCATTGTCAAAACCAAAATTAACTCTGCCAACAACAACCCCTCATTTTTTTCTCGTTCGCACCATTATCTCTTCTTTCATTAAAACATTAAAAAACAGAAAGAAAGAAAACAAAACAAAACATAGGAAAACCTCAAGACCTCAGCCATTGCTATCATATGCTTTCAGTTAATTAAAAAAAAACAACAAGAGATCAATAGGGTTCTGAGGTTCGACATAAACAAGAGAAAATATTCTCAAATTTTGATGTCCCATTTTCTTAATGACCCTTAAAAAACCGTTCTTAAAATTCCATCACCGTGATTTCAAGGAATAATAACATGCACTTACAATAGCCCTCTTCATACGCTCATTCTCATCTCAGAAATAAACAAGACACATGAAAAAAATTATAATCTTTCAAACACCAGGAGCTCATTTGATGTTTATCTTTATTCTCACTAACTTGTTTTTGATGTTGATGATGCCAGCCTTGTTGTTACAAATTTGTGCTCGATTGAAGGGGATGAGGGCAACGAGCAGCCCCTTGTGACCTATGACATGTAGACTAACCAAAACCAAAACCAAAACCTTGAGATTCTTACAAGAAAGCAATTAAGAACACATACCATATCTTTTCCTCCATTTCTCAAAGTATGGAAGCGGAGTATAATAGTGTATTATTGCTCCTCCATCTCTCCTCTCCTCCTCCATAGCCAACATCTTCATGTCCTTTAAATTACCATGGAGGAAAGAGGGTTTTGGCCCATCAATTCCTTGTTGTCTTAGCTTCTTACAAATTTTTTGAGGATGTAACCACATAACATTATACAAGTACAAAGCGAAACTGCAAAAGGATAGGATGCATATATTAGGTAAAACGTAACAGTTAATCTACAAAACTTAACATTTAAAAGAATAAAAATAACAATTACTCAATTATACTTAGATAGAATAACTAAACATTAACAGTTAATCGGCTATAGTTCACATGTAATAGGTAAAACTTAACAGCTAATTAACAAAACTTAACATTTAAAAGAAAAAAGTTAACACTTACTCCATTATACTTAACATGGAATAGGTAAACATTAACAGTTAATTTGCTATAGTTCATTTGTATTAGGTAAAACTTAATAATTAATCTACTGAATATCACAAGACATCATTTATATCATTTATATCTTTATCTGAAGCAGATAGTTTTCATATGTAAACATTGTAAGTGTGTGTACATGCAAGTTAAACTATATATCTTTATATCTGTCTAATTCAAACGGTAATAGCGCCTTCTAAATTTGATATCAAGGAATTGTTTCTTCTCCACATATATCACAAGCCATCATTTATCACTCCAACTTACCAAATATCAATCACATTACTAAGACTGCAAAACATGACACACCACTATAAAAATTGAAGTAACATAAATTCACTTTATTCTTCAATGAATACTTTCGTTCAATCATAAAGCAAGGGCATAAAACCAAACCTACAACCTCACAGTCCCTCATTATATCTATAACAACTAAGACTAGTAACTATATTTATTTGGGACTATAGCACTAAGCTTAGTTCTGGTACATACATTTTTAACAATTCAACTGGTGTTTGAAGAAAATGTCATAGCCAATAATAGCTAGCTAACATGCAGATGTGGACATTGACTTTTGTGATATAAACCATGACTGCAAGCAACCTACTGAAAGTTTACAAAAGCTGATATCGAGAATGTGCCGCTCAATGGTTGAAACTACCATTTAAAATTCAAGTGTTGTTTGAATGATTATGTACAAGAATAAAGTGACAATTCAAAAGTGATTCATGGATATCGAGTCACTATCTTCAGACAATATTTTCATGTTGCCTGTGATTTTTAAAGAACAGGGTAAAGAAACATACATTAACAGCAACTGCCTTTAAAGCTATGCATGCTGAAATTAAACTAGATGAACTGTGTTCTCCTCCCCGGAGCACACCAATGAGAGCATTTGCAATTCCAAGCTTGGCAAATCTTCGAGCATATCCAAAAACCTGTATATCATATATCCATGTAAATATAGGATTAGATTAACGGGTAATTAACGACTGTGTCAATGGAGAAATCAAATAAATCTTGAGATTAACTTGAGTGCTTTGGGAAGGATTTGGAATTGGATCCGAAATCCTTCCCACTTAAATTTGATGAGGGAAAATCCTGAATCCATGGCAAGTCCTCCTCCACCTCTTCCTCCTCCTCGACAATTCGATTCCTTAGGGTTTTGGGCCCCGTTGAGCTTCGATTTCGCCCTAACGAGGAGAGATGAGGAGGGGAGCCTAGGGTTCGGGGTTTTGGGGAGCGAGGGGGAAGCGAGAGGGAGAGCGGGAGAAGAGGAGGGTAAGGAACTGAGAGGAGAGTGTTGTTCATCTGAGGAGGAAGTGTTGTTCATCACAGTGGCGAATACAGTGGCGTATTCGTTGTTGTTGTTCATCCGAGGGGGGGACCGGGGAGGCATCTTCGTCGTCGACGTCGCTGAGAACGGCGGCGATGTCGTCGGCCATGAAATTGAGAGGAGAGTTTTTTCTTTTCCTCTCACAACTTTCTGAAGAAGAAGATCTGAAGATTTGAAGAAGAAGGATATGAAGAAGAAGAGGGTAGTTTGGGGTTTTTTGAGATATATTCTCTTGGAATTTGTAAAAAGGGCTGAATTGCATTTACTTTTCAGTTGTGGGGCTAATACATATTAGAAAAAATACAGGGGGCTAGGACACATTAGATTTTTATTTTTGGGGCCTTGAAGCAATTTTTCCTTAATTATATGACCAGCTATCCTAGCAGTTAAAATATGTATGATCAGCTAGTTACATGATAAATACAGTGATCAATGATCTAATTAACCATTTATTTCACACGTTAACAACTATTATAGAAGTTTAATAAATATTATACCAGTTTAGATAGAATTACCACAGTTTATCACATATATAGTAGAGTAACATAGATTTTGCAATTAAAAATAAATCAATTTGAGTGTTGTGAATGTTTATCCGATCGAAGTGTGTGAATTTCAAAGTAAAACAGGATAAAAGAGTGGGTTCAAAACCAAAAGGTCTGAAGCAATAATGTAAATGACCATTTTGGGAAAACACCTGATAATGATATTTTATAAATAATGGTATAGAATTTTATAAACTGTGTTTGGTTCAAAAAAAATTCTATAAAGTAGGGGAAAATGGGGTATTTTTATAAAAACCAATCTCTTCCCCAAATAAGAGAAAACTACCTAGAAATCTGACATTTATATTAAAAATTAAGTACACATGTACCCTATTTCTCTAACCCCCACCCCCACCCCACCCATGTGATTCCCCCATTGTTAGGAACCTATTTATATAAAATAATATCTAACCAAACACAAAAAAAAAGGAAAACAACCTTTTTTTTTACGAAGTTGAAGCTTTTACATATTTTGAACCAAACAAAAAAATAGCAAAAAAAGATAAAAAAATAATCTTCTTTGAGTTCTATAAACATTTCCTATAAATTTTTATAGAAATATAAGAAAATTAATTTTTTATTACTTTTCTTGTTCCTCTTTTTTTTTATATAAAATTGAACCAAACCGTCCCAAAAGAAAAGAGAAGGAGAGCATCCAAAAATAGTATAGAAAACAAATCACATGAAAATTTTTCGAGAAAAAGTGCCTTTCTGAAAAAAAAATGCTCTTATCATACATGTACATGAATCATCCTGTGTCAGAAAATAATGTTTAACACGTCACGTTGAGTACTTTCAATGCAGTAAGCTTTTGACAATGTAGTTTTATATTCACTATGAAACTCTCATACGTCACGTACAAAAATATTAAATCCAATACTTTCAAAAATATAAAAGAAAAAATTAATACTTTGTAGATAACATATTTTACTTTACTGTTTTAAAGATCAGTTTGTTAAACAGATTTATTGAAATTAGCTTTGATTAAAATTCATAATCTTAGTTTGGCAATGGGAGTTTTACTGTTTGGATCAAATATGCATTTAACTTGGTTTGATTTTGACCAATAATCAAATGAGAATTAATACAAAACAAGATAGTTGTATGAAAACATGCATAATTTCATTTTTATTTATATTGTTTATTTTTTGAAAAAACCATCACAAGATAAATATCCCATTTTCTGATTAGTTTCGTAAATTACGGAATGCGGACTTTAGAGAGGCCTGCTACACCTACAAGCAAAGGGTCGAGGGCGTTAAGAATTTAAAATGGAACCGAAGAGTACGGCGTACACAAGGCCGTGACAAATAGGAGGACCCCACGTGGCGTGTGAGGTGCGTTCCCATGCACGAGGATGTTACTTGTGATGTTGCTTGTGGGAAAGGGAAAGTAGGGGCAGGAATTGGAGGCCATGGTTTCCTACCATAGTTTTTTCTTTTTCAAATTTTTTAAAAATAGTTTATCTGTCATGAAAGAGAGTGAATTTTATTTAAGTTTTTTATAAATGCATGGGAAGGTTATGTTGTTGTTTGATTGCATTGGTGCTTGTTTAGTTGGCACCCAAAAGAAGTGCCATTCATGTTATGCACCAATAAATTAGCAAGTCATATTTATAGATAGGGGTGTCCAAACGGGCTAACGGACCCTGGCCGGGAAAATGCCTCCTATTCGGACTCGAACCTGGATGGCTCAAGCTGAGTCCGAGTAGTTATCGAGCGAGGCCCCAGATACCCCAGTCATTTGTGGCATCTTAATTTTTTTAATTTAAAAAAAAAATAAAAATTCACAAAAATTATTGCATCATAATAATATAGGTACATCCTAACTATGTTTACACCTACTCGTCTATATTATTATCATTGCAATTCTTTCCAAAAAATTAAAACTATGGTTAAAAACAAAATTTTACAAATAATTTTATTTTCTATGCTTTATCTATCTCCAACTCTTCAAGTGCTTCATTAGTAGCTAAAGCTTCAATGTCTCAATGTCTCTTTTTAGATTTCCACCAGTGTTGTAAGCACATTTCCATCTATACTGTATCCTGATCCAACATCGTTGTATGGTCATTGATCAACCGTCCTAAAGTGTTGAAGGCACATTAAGAAGCTATAGTAGAAATATGCACTGTTAATAGATCACGAGCCATGATAGAAAGCATAGGATATGCAGTTGATCGATGTGTCCTCCACCATGACAAAATATCAAAGTTCGGTTCATTATCCAGACATGTAACTAAAGCTGCACTAAAATATTATTCAAGTCCATAAATTTTTCTTCATCCTGATCTACTACCCTACCAACTAGCTTATGTACAATTGAATTTCTTAAACATAAGCCCTTACCTTTACTAAGGCTAGATCTCGTAGCAGACGGAGCTTGATACGTGGAACCATATATTATATTACACTCATCAAATAATTTAGAAAAATAATATTTTTTTTTTGGTCAATGAAAAAGACTTTATTCATTCACCAAATATGAAAAGAATGTACATCAAGATACTCAAAATATGAGATTACAACTTCATATTCTAATTATTTACATCTATAGTGACAGTATCCAATCTCTGCTGTCAAGAAGACTTGTACTATTGAGGATGATGTATAGCATACTGATCTTTATTTCCCCGAACACCTGGACTGCATTCCTGAATTTATTCTTGAAAATTCTGTTATTCCTCTCAATCCATATGCAATATAGTGTTGAGGAGAGAGCCATCCTTTTGATCTTTTGCCTGTCTCCCTTACCTCTCAACTTGTAGCAATACCAGTTCATAATATGATTCCACACACAAGATCTCCATGAAAATTTCAGCCAATCCATCACAAGCAACCAGACTTCACTTGAGAAAAGACAATCGAAAAACAAGTGATCTCTATTCTCCTCAGCTCTTGTACATAAACAGCAGGAGTTACTGGTTATAATTCCTCTTTTGAGAAGCCTATCTTGAGTTTGCAGCCTGTTTTGCACAGCTAGCCAGCTCAAAAAAGAATGCTTTGGGTAACTGATTCCTTCCCAGACTGTGTTATACCATGGTACAGGCACAGAGTTTGCTGAGAGAGCATGGTAGAGGACTGACATCTGAACTTTTGAATTATTAACACAGGAGTTAATCAATTGCATCAAGTTATCAACCCCTCCATTTGAGAACAAAGCTTTGTCCCTGGTTTTTAAGATTTGTTTCCACATCCATGAGTCGCCACTTTTAGCTTGAACAAGCCAAATATCTCTGTTTTTAAGATAGGTGCCATGTATCCATTTCATCTAGAGGCTTTCTTTCCTGATATGTATATTCCACAAAATCTTCAGACCTGAAACATAATTCCACATGGAGGCAGAGTATATTCCCAGGCCTCCAAATTTTTTCCCCAAACTCACTTTGTCCCATGCAACCAAGGAATTAGCTTTGACCTGGTGATCCTGTTTCCCCCACAGAAAGTTCCTACAAAGAATATCAATTCTCTGAAGAACTCCAGCAGGTAAGATGTAGTTGGATGTCCAAAACACTTGAATTCCTAGAATTGTGCTTTTGATTAGCTGAAGTCTTCCAGCATATGATAAATGTCTGTAGTTTGCACAGGACTGAAACTGATCTCTGATTTTGTTTAGCAAAGGTGCACAATCCAAGCATGATAATCTTTTGGAGATGAGAGGTACACCTAGATACCTAATGGGCATAGCTCCTTCTGGATATCCCAGACTGTTAATAATTGCTGTCTTGGTTGAGACATCAACCCCTCCAAAAAATATTGAACATTTATTTGAGTTTGCTTCAAGACCTGACACTGCACTGAACTCCCTGAAGCATTGCTGCAGTTTATTTACAGAGTACATGTCACCTCTTGCAAATAGGAGGAGGTCATCTGCAAAAATTAAGTGGGTGATACTGAATTTGCCACACCTTGGGTGGAATTTGAATTTCTTGTCATCTTTTAGCATATTCAAGCTTCTTGAAAGGTATTCCATACCAAGGATAAAGAGATAAGGTGAGAGGGGGTCTCCCTGCCTCAGTCCTCTTTTGCCTTTGAAGTAGCCATGTAGAGATCCATTTAATGCAATAGAGTATTTGGGAGAGGTGATACAGGCCATAATCCAGCCTATCATAGTCTCAGGAAACCCCAATCCACATAACATCTCCTTGAGGAAATCCCAGTTGATTGTGTCAAAAGCTTTCTTGATATCCATATTAAGCATAACTCTTGGAGATATGTGTTTCCTGCTGTAATTTTTGACAAGCTCATGTGCAAGGAGAACATTACTAGTTATTTGCCTCCCTTTAACAAAAGCACTTTGTGCTTCATTAACTAGTGATCCCATCACTGATTTAATCCTATTTGTTAGGATTTTTGAAATGAATTTGTATAGACAATTGCAACATGCTATAGGTCTAAAGTCTGATGGCATCTTAGGACACTGAACTTTAGGGATTAGGTTAATGGACGTGGAGTTAATCTCACCCAACAACTTACCATTCTTGAAAAAATCCTCAATGGCAACAGAGACTTCATCCCCAATAATTCCCCATGCAGTTTTAAAAAAAGACATGCTGAAACCATCAGGACCTGGGGCTTTATTTTCTGACATAGAGAAAACAGCATCTCTAATTTCCTCTCTACTGACTGGAATTATCAGATTCCTAGCTTGGGTTGAACTTAGACAAGGGCCATTGCTAATAAATGAGACTCTTGTAGAAGGAGATAAGTTCAGATATTATTTCCTCTCTATCTGTGAGTTTTTCCCCTGCATTATTATAGAGGACCATGACTCTATTTTGATGTCTTTTGGATTTAATCACAGAGTGGAAGAAGCTTGTACATCTATCACCTTGAAGGCTCCATAAAATTCTTGATTTCTGTTGATAGAAAGAGAGCTCACAATCCAGTAATTTATTATAAGAGACTGTGCATTTCCTTTCTTGATCAATGAAGGACTGATTAAGAGGATCCACTTGCAGGTTTTTCTGTGCATCTTGAAGAGCTTGTTTTGATCTTATCACTTGTTCACTGATGTTTTTGAAATGCCTTTTGTTCAGTTCCTTTAGTGCAATTTTAAGAAGCTTGAGCTTTGAATAAACTGAAAACATGGCATAACCTGTCACTTTAGTGTTCCAGACTGAAGTTATAGTAGGCAAATAATTTTCATGCTTTGTCCACATCTTGAAGAATTTGAAAGATTTCTTTCCCTGAATACATTCATCATATATGGCTACCAAACCAGGGGAGTGGTCAGAGAAACTAGGTAGAAGGTATTCAATATGACTTGAATTGTGCATGTTCAGCCAGCAGTCATTGATTAAAGCTCTGTCCAGCCTACTCCACACTCTTGAGGTAGAGTCTTGTTTGTTATTCCATGTATAATAACAGCCTTCAGTTTTAAGATGTGTTAGTTGACAATCTTCAATGAAATCCCTAAAGTCCATTGTGTCTGTTTCAGCAAGAGCAGCTCCCCCAAGCTTTTCTTCATCACTTGTGATGGCATTAAAGTCCCCACACAATAGCCATGGTTTATTCCCAATATTCAGATGGATTTGATTGAGGCTAGACCATAGATCTTTTCTATTCATCAAGTTATTATGCCCATAGACAGATGAAATCATGCAGTCAACTCTTCCATCAATTGACTTAACCTTGCATGTAATATGTTGATCTATAAAATTTTCTATTTGCACATCCAGAATATTTGAGTCCCATAATAGCAGAATCCTAGCTCTTGCAGAGCTGTTTGCATTAGAGAACCAATTCCATGTACCAGCAATCTTCCTAGCAGCAGCTGGAATCTTGACAGCTTCCAGTTTTGTTTCCAAGAGAGCTACAAAAGTCAGTTTGTATTGCATAATATGATGCCTAACCAAATGTTGCTTAGAGGATTTATTTAACCCTCTAACATTCCAAAAGGTCCAATTCATAGCTTAGTTCTCCCCCCTCCTTCAGAAGTAGAGGGATCAGGATCCAGATTTGCAAGATGAGAAAATAAGTTCCCTGAAGGAATAACTCTCTATTGCTGTAATTCTGAACTTGTGGCCAGGAAATATCAGCTAGTGAAAGGCCCTTTTGACTGGAAACCCCAGCAACTCCAGAATACAGGTCATGTACAACATGCACACTATTTCCAGAAGACCAGGTTCCAGTTATTTTAGTTTGTTCAGGCTTAGAATTTCCAGCAGCTCCAGAATATAGGCCATTCACCTTCCCAGCAGCAGATTGCATAGTCTTGTGCTCTTCCTTTTCCCCCAGATTTAGACAGGTGAATTTAGGCATAGAATTATGCATATTTCGCTGAGGACTGGAATTCTCTCTATTGACAGACTCTTGTGCACCATGCACAGAATTTTTAGAGCTTCCAACACACTGAATTCCTCTGTGGTGTATTATCCTGTCCATTAACCTCATTCTGAACAGTATTTCCTCCATTTATATTCTTGCTCCCTAAAACACCATCCAGCCCAGACTGGTTTCCAGTGAGGTCTTTTTTTGGCATCCATCTTTGAGTCATAGGAAATCTTCTACAAAACATTGTTTCATGTCCAATTAGCCTACAACTATTACACCATTTTGGCTTCAACTCATAAATCACTTTTTGCTTAATCATCTTGCCATTAAGCCCATGAATGGAAATTTGGTCTGGCAATGGAGACGGCATGTGGACTTCAACAAGTACTCTTGCATATGCCAGCCTCTTTCTTTGAGCCGTGAGCATATCAGTAGCTATAGGCTTACCAATGAGACTGGCTATTTTGCTAAGGCAATTTGAATTCCATAAATTGAGTCTTAAAGCTGGGAATTGGATCTACATAGGGTAGACACTGTCATTTATTTTTTCAATATCTTCTTCATTTGTCCATGTTTTTAGTAAGAGGGGCCTAGAACCAAAGAACCATGGTCCATTAACCAGAATATCATTCATATCTACCTCATTCTTGAAACTGAACAGGAAAATCCCTGACTTGAGAATACAAATATCTGGAGCATTCCATTTAGCCCATGCTTTATGAATAAAATTTTCCATGGCTTTAAATTTGACATTTAAGCCTAATACTTGGCCAATTAAGGAAAATTTCCATAAAGAATTCCCTTCATTCCACTCATCTTCATCAAAGGTCACAACATCATTTGATTCAGGAGCCACAAAACTCAAATTCATACCAGAACCTATTTTCCTATTGTCTGTAAAGAGGCTTGCCCAACTTTTGGTAGGTTCTTGGTTTGCAGGCTTAGCATCCACAGGTTTAGGAGTACTAACATCCGCATTCAAATTTTCAAGAACTCCAGAAATAGGATCATTAGAAATTACAGGCTGTGATTCTAAATTCAGAATATGAGATCTACTATTATCAATAGATTCAAGAACTGAATTAGAATCAAGAGCCATGGATTCGACTTCTTCAGCCCAAGAGACCTTTCCAGAGCTATTTGCACCAGATTTGGAACTCTAAGACTTATCAAGAAATTGAACCTTAGCAGATCTATTCACAACTGATTGAGAGTTCAGATTCTCACCAGAAAAACGAGATTGGATCCCAATCGGCTTAGGAGAGACTGGAAACGAAGCAGAGTTAAGCAGCTCAGCCATTAGAATCTTCTTCCTCTCTCCTTTAGGGCCAATTGACCCCATAAGATCTGAATCCGATGCAGATTCCCCTCCTTCATCAGCAAAATCATCTGGATTAGGTTCCGCAAGAGAGATCAACTTAGAATTAGAAGCTCGCAAGCCAATTTCCAGGATTTTTCTCCCATTTTTCTTCTTGTTTTTTGCCATCTGAAAATCTCGGCGGGGGCGTATTCTAGCAGAGCAATCGCCCTGCTAAACTACGCCAGCGGACTGCCAACTTTTAAAAAGAGTTATTTTCTCCTCACCTAAAAAAAAAAAAACGAAAAAAATAATATTTGATCGTCACATAATGACTAACTTCAGTAATACTCTCATAATTATGATATATTATTAGATTGCCATATAAAAAAAAGTTAGGAGATTATTTAGACTGGAGTCTTTCAGACATGGATCAAAAAGCAAGCTAATACATTAAAATAATAACAAAATGTCTAAAATACTTAGTAAATTTGCTCTCTATTTTCACAATCATTTGTCCAAAATAAATACTCATGCTGTAGGATCTGCGGAAGCACACATTAAACACTAGGGGGGGGGGGGGGGGTATTTTCACAATCATTTGTCCAAAATAAATACTCATGCTGTAGGATCTGCGGAAGCACACAAGGGGGGGGGGGGGGGGGTGAATAGTATTTCTTTTAAAAAATTTGCAAGATGAGTTATAAATTGCAAGAATAAATGACAACAATCATAGAAATTTGAACAATCACAAACACAAGAGATTTATACTGGTTCCACCACCCCGGGTGTACATCCAGTCCCCAAACAAATCGCACTTGAGGTTTTCACTATGATTTTAAACCAATTACAAAATTAAAACCAAACCTGACCAATTTGCAAGTCCCTGCAAATTGCAAACAATCTCTTAACCAAGATATCTTCTCCCACACCCGAGAGAAAGCTTCTTTCAAGAAAGTACACAAATTTCCAATAAGCCTTGAAGTGTTGGTGAAGTGCAGCAATGACTTAGGAACTTTTTAATCTCTGAATATTGCCTAAATAATTTGTTTGTATGATGAAGATCAATGGCTATTTCAGAAACTCTATTTTATAGAAAGTTAGACTAAAATTCTAAAAATAATAGAGTGAATTTGCACAAAAATTGAATCTTATGGGTATGAACATTGGTGGTAAATTTTGAACTTTAATACCTATATATAGCCTCTGAAATGACACAAATTTAAACTCAATTAACGTCCAAAAATGGCTATAAAGCAGTCACTAATTCAAATTCTGAAGAACCAAAAATTGTATCTATAGTCAACTACAAAGCTTAGTAGTCGACTACACTAAGTCTAAACAGACTCTGTGAAGTCATATAACTACTTAGTAGTCGACTACTTTTGTTAATGGTCAACTACATTGTAATTTCACAGATTCTGGAATTCTGTCTAAGTCTTTAATAGTCGACTACAATGTGTATTAGTCGACTACACTATAAAATCACAAAATCTGAAACTTTGTCTAAGGCTTAATTAGTCGACTACTATTTGTATTAGTGGGCCATACTGTAAAACGAAAGAATCTGATATTTTGACCAAGGCTTGAGTAGTCGACTACTATTGTTATTGGTCGACTACTAAGGAGTAAATATGAGATATATGAAGTATTTTGAGACTCATTCTTTATCTATAAATTCTAATGGTTAACATAGGAGATTCCTATAGTTAACCACACACTAACATGTGTTAGCGTATTCTAATACTATGTGTGTGTATGTGTTGTGAGTGATCAACGCTTGTACATAAGATCTAAACAAAAAAATATAAAAATTACATTTTGACATTTACGCATATCTTCTTCTTTGCTTCATGTTGCCTTGACCTCATCCTGCACTTTGTTCACATATCTTGAGCATATTTGATGTTGATATCCATATTGATATGTTAGTACACATATAATACACATAGTATATAAATTGTTATCATCAAAACTATATATTGGGGACAATATATCCAACATTCTCTCCCTTTTTGATGATGATAAACAATTTAATCATAAGTAAGTATATCACAAAAAAAAATTTAAACATTTATGAACATTATATACTTACTCCCCCTGTATTCAAGTATATTAGAGTCCATAAAATGCATATATATCGTAGAAACATATATTATATCTCCCCCTTTGTCATTAACAAAAAGAACTAAACATTAACTCTAAACATGCACGAATCTCATTTTCATGAGCTAAGACTTCAAATAAGTTATTTAAATTGTGAACATAGTCCATAACTTCACTCATCCAAATAGGTAGGCAAAGACTTACTATAAAGACCAATAGTTCAATAACTTCCATCGTCACAATCTGTTGTTAAAAATATTTAGCTCATGAACACAACATACTAATAATAAATCATTAAGAAACTTAGTAGCAACATGAAACACACTTAGTATGGAATTACAAGTTCAAATGTTCAAAAGCAAATTAGTACATAAGTGTTTCACAAACTAAGCAACTAACCATATAGTTTTTGATATAAATAGAAACTAGTACATAGTGATATGATGAAATGCATGCTTCTAAAATGAAGGGCCTGGAGGAGGTGGAGGTCCTTGGAAGAATGAATCAAACTTGATATCCAAGTCTTCCAACATCTTCTTTATGCCATCCTGATTTCTCAAAATGCATGAATTCTGAGCATAGATTGCTTGTTGACCAGTCTCAAGATCGAGAATGCATGTAGAAAGTGTGTTGTACTGTGCATCCGAGAAACAAGATTGGTTTGTTTGCATTTAAGGGGGTGTGTGGCTTGTAGAAGGTTGTGTTTGGGTTGAGATTATGGAATATCTTGAGGGGTTTGTTCTTGGGGTTGATTTGGCTCATCTTGGGGATTATTTTCAGGAAGTTTAAAGCTTGTCAATTTCATCCTTGTAAGTGCATTGGAGTCAAAGAATTCAACTGAACAAACCACAAAATTCTCAGATTCAAGTTCAACATGAAATTTTTCAAAATTTTTTGTTAGAAATGTACCATAAGGAAGAAATCCTCTTGGTACAACCAAAAGATTATCATAATAAACTTTACCCCAATTGACTTGGATATTTTACATTATAGCATATAAGGCTTTAGCTAAATCTAGAGAAAGAAAATGAAAACTCTCGGTTTTTGGAAATATGTTATACGCTAGGATTGGTGCAATAAAACGAGGAATTGGTCTAAGTTTCTTGGAATGATTCAAGTGTTTTCCTTGACCGGGTAGAAAGATGTGATTTGAAAGCAAGTCTTGATCTGTCATTTTAATACTACTAAGAGATACACATTTATAAGGTATATTGAGTATTTTTCCAAGTGATTTAGGTGTTAATTCAATCTTAATCCCCTTGACAAGTGTAGATAATTTTTTAGTACCCCTAATTGTTTCAATACGAGCTATATTAATGTAAAAGAGTTGAACTAAGAATGGATAATATGGTTTTCTATTTTCTGATGAAAATAACTCAAGCAAACCAACATTCTCATAGTATGAATTGAAGTTGTATGGTATAAAATCATCAAATTTTACGAAACGTCCCGAAAGAACTTCAAAAGATGAAATATTCTTAAATTCTTCAAGCTAATTGGGATTTTTCAAGTAGACAATGATTTTATCATCAATGTTGGAATGAGTTTGTTTAGCTTTCTTAGATCTAGACATGATAACTCAAAAGAACTTGAAAATATCAAGTTGAATGAACTTACCCAAAGAGTAGACTGCCTAAGAGATGGAACAGCCGACTAATAGTCAGTGTAGTCAACTATAAGAACTAAAAACCTTAGAAAAACAAAGAACTTGGGAGAGATTTTGAAAAAAAAAACAAAGAGAGAGAGGATGCTCTAACCTTGAATTGGAGGTCCTGAAGAAGGGAGAGGGGCTGTCGGTTTTGGATGAGTGAGAGAGTGGGTAGTTGAGGAGTTAGAGTAGTTTTCTTAAGTAAGAAATCAAAGGCTAAGATTAAATCATGAAATCAAATGTGTGGTCAAGATTAGATCTAAAATGAATGTGATATAGGACTAGGATTGATCAAGCTAAAAATGAATGGATGAGATGCATCTAACTTAAGTTAAATGGGTATTGGGTATTGGGTTTGATAGGTAAAGATCCAATATGATGAAAACTGTGTATATGTGAAAAAAAAGTGGTGCATGTAGTCGACTATATAATGCCAATTAGTCGACTACACTGTAGTTGACAGAAATCTGTAAACTTATTTTCACTTCAGATTAGTCAACTACTATAACTATTAGTCGACTAGACTGTAATCAACATAATGCCTTATATCAAATGCATGTGCATGTAGTCGACTACTAACCAAATTAGTCAACCATTAATGTTGTGTATGCATATGTTATGATTTTAAAAACTAGTTTAAATCTACCATTGAACAAATATCTAATTCCCTTCTTAAATTAACATAAATTACTTCTTTTAATGGTTTTGTTAGAATATCTGCAATTTATTTATCAGTTGATATAAAATCTAATAAAATATCATCCTTAAGCATATGATCACGTAAGAAATGATGTCTAATATCAATATATTTTGTACGTGAATGTTCAATGAGATTTTTAGATAAGTTAATAGCACTAGAATTATCACACATTATGAAGAATGTGGGACAAACTATATCATAGTCAGATAATGTTTATTTTATCCATAGAACTTGAGCATATGCAAAACTAGCAGTAATGTATTCTGCTTCAGTTGTTGACAATGATACTAAATTTTTCTTTTTGTTGAATCAAGATACAAGTGAATATCCCAAAAAATAACACGTACC